CATGCGAGGTGTATTTTCTGAGATCCTGCAACCTAACGTGATCTAGTGGATCAGATCGTCATTCCTCTCAATTCAGCGCGGGTCTCTCGGGACCCTCCAATGGACGTGTGTCGCCATGGTCCACCAGGAGAAACGATGCGGCACGGAAGCAGAGTTTCTCCAGGCGTTTGCCCATCAGGGTTCACAATGATGCCACAGTCCTCCGTGTGCCAGAGAACCGAAGTTCCCAGTACTTCAACAACAACAACCCCGCCAAATCGTCCGACCCCTTTTCTCTGCGTTTTGAGGTCCTTGCAGACTTCCCGACGCTCCTGTGGTCCCGATTGACTGCCCGATCGAGTTTGCACAAGTCGTCTTGCGACCAAACCTTCTCCGATAAACCATACCCATTCAAAACATGGCACCGCAAGCAGGCCAAACCAAACTCAAGACTGTCAGCGCCGGGTTCAACCTCCCACCTGCCTACAGCCTTTTCTTTCTCGTCATCGAACCGATATCTGCCCTCGTTGGGGCTTTCTTTGCCCACTTCAAGCCGGAGGTGTACCTTGAGCTTACCCACGCTGCAACAGCCCCCTCGACCCTCCCCCTTGGTACCGGTATCGCCATGTCACAGCTTGCCAACCTCTACATGTTTTTTGCATTGAACGAGGCGATCGTCCTACGTGCCACTGCCGACCTCAAGGTGTGGTCAGCCGTTCTCTTCGTCCTACTCGTGGCGGACCTGGGCCATCTCTACACCGTTCGAGCACTGGGGCCAGGCATCTATTATAATGTCGCTGGTTGGAACGCTATTGGCTGGGGCAACGTACCCTTCGTCTATTTCGGTGCCATCATGAGAATAGCCTTCCTCTCAGGAGTTGGTCTTGGGAACAAAGCTGTTCCGACGAAGAAGCAGAAATAAATACAGTGCGGAGGCCAAGTCTACAGGTGGGCTGGACCACTTCCAGGCTCGACTTCGACTGCCCCAGCGCCCTCCCCGCTCCCTTCCCCGTTCCCCGGCCAGAGACTTCTGTCTATCCACTCTGTCGCTTCATGGAGCAGACCAGTCTGGTGATATTCTGTATCAGTCACGAGATTCCGAGAGTCACAGCGGCAGGCATTGCTGCAACAGGAACCCGAGCACATACCGACATGCTTTTGACTTCAGTGCCCCTCTGTTCCCGATGCGACGGAAAAGTAGGGGGAAATCTGTTTCCATGTCGGCATTGAAGCTGATTGGTCTACATCCCATCCCCGTCACGGATGACAATCCCAAAGATTCAGCTGTGTTGCTGCGGGCTCGGTACGCACCACCTAACTTGCCCGAATCCCCCGCCCTCTTGCCCTCACTCCGGCAGGTCCATCTAGTCAGGCTACCAGGTGTTCAATCGCTCCAAGCGTGCTGGTGTGTCTGGACACCCGAACACACAAAAGTTTTCTGATGGGGGCTGGTTCTGATTGACGGAGAAATCGGCACTAGATCGGAACATCCACCGGGACAATTGCTTTGCAACTTATCACTCCCGAGTGGGGCCTGCGCGGGGCTGGCCAGCGTCAGAAATGGAATGAGGCCAATCGCTGGTCTTTGCGGCGGCCGACGAGCCAAATTTCTGGAGCGAACTGGGGTGTGCTGGATGGAGTCGACCTCTGGGTACACCCCCCCTAACCACCATGGGACAACTGGGCAGCATCATGCTCCCCCATTCCTTGACATCTGCCCCTTCTCGGTGCTGGGTTGGCCGTGGGCTGTGGCTTGGGGGCCATCGAAAGGTGGGCGCGTCTCCAGAAAGACACTACGCGGGGCAAGGTCACAGCTCTTAGGTGGGGGTTCGGTGGTTGATGAACGAGGGACGAGGGGAGAGATTGGGATTGAACCGTGGTCTCTTAAATATTGGGCGGCCTGTCGTCCCGCGTTGGGCTTGATTCCTGTTCCTCCCTCTCTTCTTCTTCCCATTTGAAAATCGGTGCCTTCTCTAATCTCAATTATCTTGCACGTCTTGCCATCGATCAGACATCTTATTGTGCCGCTCCACCACCGCCAATCCACATCCTAGACACCAACATGCCTTATCCCGAGAAGTTCACTGGTTTCCAGGTCAAGGGCGCCGATACCTGGCAGGAGTTCCACAAGCAGGAGTTCGACGCCAAGCCCTTCGGTGACTACGACATCGACATCAAGATCGAGTGCTGCGGCGTCTGCTCTAGTGATGTCCACACCGTCCGTGGTGACTGGGGCGCGCAACCCTACCCCCTGGCTGTCGGTCACGGTAAAGCTTTCATTTGGCTCTTTCTACGGTGGCGGCACGTCTCTAATGAACCATCACAGGAGATTGTCGGCAAGGCAATTAAGGTCGGCTCCAAGGTCACCACCGTGAGGGAGGCCAGCGCGTCGCGTCGGGCGCCCAGTCATTGGGCTTGCCTCGACTGCAAGCAGTGCCAAGAACGACAACGAGACCTACTGCAAGGACCAGCTCGACACCTACGGCGCGACATGGCCTGACTCTGGTGTCGTCTCCCAGGGCGGTTACTCTTCTCACGTCCGCACCCACCAGCACTGGTAAGTGGTCATCGATGGCACTCCTACACGTGCTGCTGTTTGAGGACAATGGGCAGTTGAGGCTGACGTGTTCACAGGGTCTTCCCCATCCCCGAGGGTCTTCCTAGCGAGGTTGCCGCTCCCATGCTTTGCGCAGGCTTGACGGCTTACAGCCCCCTTGTCCGCAACGGCGCCGGCCCTGGCAAGAAGGTCGGCATCGTCGGCATTGGTGGCATCGGTCACTTTGGTGTGCTCTTCGCCAAGGCACTGGGTGCTGAGGTCTGGGCCATCTCGCGCTCGCGCTCGAAGGAGGAGGACTCGCTCAAGATGGGTGCCGACGGCTATATCGCGACCGCCGAGGAGAACTGGAACGAGAAGCACAAGATGAGCTTTGACCTCATCGTCAACACAGCCTCGTCTTCCGAAGGCTTTGACCTCTCCACCTACCTCACCCTGCTCGACGTTCACGGCAAGTGGGTGTCGGTTGGCCTTCCTGGCGGTGGCGGCTTCGAGGTCCGCAACCAGGACTTCCTGCCCAACGGCTGCTTCATCGGCAGCTCGCACCTGGGCAGCAGGAGGGAGACGCTTGAGATGCTGGATCTTGCGGCGGAGAAGAAGCTCTTCACGTGGGTGGAGAAGATCCCCATCAGCGCCGAGGGTCTCAAGACGGCGATGCAGGGCGTCGAGGCGTCCAAGGTGCGCTACCGATACTGCATGACCGGGTACGAGGAGGCTTTCGGTGCGTAAAGAGACCGAGAACCGATGGTGCTGTGCTGTGTAAAGGTAGCTGGGTGGGGTGACGAAGCGAATTAAAATGGAGATTTCAATGTTCACTGGCCTGGCCCGCCTTGTGTTGTTGGTGTCTGTCGGGTATCTGGGCTTTGGACGCTCGAAAACTTGTCATCGGCTCGGGTCAATCAGCGCCTTCTGTCCCACCAAGGACCCCTCATCCCCAAAGGAGACTAGTGCGGGGTTGCCCTTCTGTGGCTTTGGCCGCCTCAGAAAGGCGCGACCCGCTGGTATGGCGTCAAAGAGACGTGCCCCGCCTTGCGACCGTGTGACTGTGCAAGTGACTGGCTGTGACTGTGACTCTTTCCTTGAGCTCTCTGGCTCTGGCGTGCCTTCCCCCCCCCCCCCCCTCCAAAGACCCCATCTGCAGTCGACTGCAATTTTGCAAAACCCCCACTCATCACAACGGCACCGAAAAAGGTCCAATCGAAGAGACGGAATACACATCTTGTGTCTCGACCTAGATTCCTGCCTGTCCATTGCTCGGGCTGACTGCCAGAATCTCTCAGCAACCCGTCTACCACGATCACCACCCTCGCCGTCATGGCGACCGCCGAGCCTATTCTCCCCGTCAAGGGTAAGAACAACGTCTTGGTCACTTCCGCCCTTCCCTATGTCAACAACACGCCCCATCTCGGCAACGTCATCGGCAGTGTCCTCTCCGCCGATGTTTTTGCGCGCTTCTCCCGCGCTCGCGGCAACCCGACTATCTTCATCTGCGGCTCCGACGAGTACGGTACTGCCACCGAGACCAAGGCCCTTGAGGAGGGCGTCGACCCAGAGACCCTGTGCCGAAAGTACCATGCCGTCCATAAGGGCATCTACGAGTGGTTCAATCTATCCTTTGACATTTTCGGCCGCACTCCGACCGAGCAGCAGACCGAGATTGTCCAGGATATCTTCCGCAAGCTGTGGCAAAACGGCTACATCGAGGAGCGCGAGACGACCCAGCCCTTCTGCCCAGTTCACCACAGCTTCCTGGCAGATCGCTTTGTTGAGGGTGAATGCTCCCTCTGCGGCTACAACGACGCCCGTGGCGACCAGTGTGACAAGTGAGTCTCGCCACCTTGCTTTTGTTCTCGCCATTCAACCTCGTCTTTTAAATCATCAGCTAATGACTGGAAAGGTGCGGCAACCTTCTCGATCCCCTCGAACCCGAGCCCGAGGCCGGCAACGCCAAGCCCGACGATGACATCGCTGCGAAGGCCACCGGGTGGTTGATCAACCCTCGATGCAAGCTGGACGGCGCCAAGCCCGACAAGAAGCAGACGAAGCACCTTTTCCTTCGTCTCGACGCGCTTAAGGAGCCGCTCATCGATTGGTTCAAGAAGGCGAGCACTGAGGGCGCGTGGAGCACCAGCGCCCAGACCATCACTCAGGCGTGGATCGACAAGGGACTGAAGCCGCGCGGTATCACGAGAGATCTTAAGTGGGGTGTTCCCGTTCCTACAGATGTTACTGGCGAGGACTATGCCGCCAAGGTTTTCTGTAAGCTGCTGAAAGGGTCTGCTTTTTATCATATCTCATTGCTGACCAGACGGTAGATGTTTGGTTCGATGCCTGCATTGGCTACGTCTCGATCACCAAGAACTATACCGATGGGGCCGACCTCGCCGGCAAGAAGTGGGAGCAGTGGTGGAAGAACCCGGATGAGGTCAAGCTGGTGGGTGGTTTTGCAATCTTGATGTGAAGCGTGCGGCTGAGCAACGTCACAGTACCAATTCCTCGGCAAAGACAACGTCCAGTTCCACAGCACCGTCTTCCCCGCGTCGCAGCTCGGCACCAACGAAAACTGGACCAAGGTTCACAAGATCTCTGCCACTGAGTAGGTTCGTTGAGCAGACCGCAGAATCGGCGCTGACATTGATAGGTACCTCAACTATGAGGGTGGCAAATTCAGCAAATCGCGTGGTGTCGGCGTCTTCGGCAACCAGGTCCAGGAGACTGGCGTTCCTTCGGATGTCTGGAGATATTACCTGCTCTCGCGCCGTCCAGAGGTCTGTAGCCATGATCCACTGGACAGTTTGATTTTGATGTTGACCATATCACAGACGTCAGACTCGGAATTCATGTGGCAGGAGCTGGTGGATGGCAACAACAACGAATTGTGCGTGTACCCGTACCGTGTATGCCTCAATTTGAAGTCTAATAACCTTTCGCAGGCTGAAGAACCTCGGAAACTTTTGCCAGCGAGTCATCAAGTTTGCGCAGGCCAAGCTTGACACTACCGTTCCCGATTACACCAAGTTCGGTCTCAACGACTACCTAAAGAACCACGTCAAGGAGGTCAACGTGAACCTCAAGGAGTATATTGCCAACATGGAGGGCACCAAGTTTCGCGATGGTCTCAGGAGCATTCTGTCCATCTCGGCGTAAGTGCCATGTATAACCCACGCTCGTAAGCCTACTGCTGACTTTCCCACAGCCTCGGCAACAAGTTGCTTCAGGACAACAAGCTCGACAACAAGCTTCTCACTGAGGAGCCTGATCGTTGCGCGGCCATTATCGGCCTGGCACTCAACCAGATTGCGCTCATCGCCAGCATTCTGAACCCATACATGCCCGTGACGTCCAAGGCCATCTTTGAGCAGCTAGGCGTGGAGCCTACGCCGACGATCCCGGACGAGTGGGTCACGGGCGCGATCAAGCCCGGCCAGAAATTGGGCGAGGCGAAGCATTTGTTCTCGCAAATCCCCGCGAGCAAGATTGAGGAGTGGCGCGAGGCATTTGGCGGCGAAGAGGTGCGCAAGCAAAAGGAGGAGGCGGCCGCCAAGGCAGCTGCTAAGAAGGCGGCCAAGGAGCGGGAGAAGGAGAAGAAGCGCCTTAAGAAGGAGGCTGCTAAGGCCGCCGCTGCTTCTGGCGCCGAGGCTGCGCTAGCGGGGGTGGAGTCCGGGGAGAAGAAGAGCGAGGCAGATCCTGCGATTGAGGCGGTCACTGAGGCGATTGCCAAGGCTGACGTGCACACCTCGTAAGGAGGCTAGGATTGCGGGGATGTTATTGACGATTGATGATGGTGGGGATACAGTGGGTGGCGTCAAGGGGTCGAAGCATGGGGCTGGGAACGGCCAACGGGGAGGAGCGTTAGGACCATGATGGCCTAAGAATGAAATCTTGAGGTCTTTACTGCCGCTGCGAAGCCATCGTGACAGAAGCTGTTACCGTTTTTATTTGCCCCCTTCAAGACGGCTTCTGGGGTTCCCCGCATTCACTCCTCATCTCCACGTTTTCCAAGAAAGGAATTGATTACTGGCCATCTTCATCTCGCCGTGCATGAAAACTAGCAAGCGGTGCCTGGCTGTGTGAGCACCAGCAATTTGTGCCTCATCTAAAAAAACCGACTGCCTCGCTTGCATTCAAGCCGAGCGAAAACGTCCGTCTGTCCGTCGTCCGAGGCGCAGAGCCACGATCGGCACTCGTCCGTGGAGGCGGTCCAATGGCTACCCCTGGTACGGGAGCCCGCCCGCCCCGCGGTAGTTGGAGCGAGGTTCCGGCTCCCCCGCTTTCAAAACGTCTTTTGGGCTTGCATACTTAGCCTCGGACAGGCTCCTCTGAGCCAGCGCGATGACTGCTGGGCGGTGATGGCCCGAAATCTTTGTGTTTGCATGTGCCTGTGCCTGCGCCTCTGACCAACCTGTTCGTCTCGTCTTGTGAGATGTTCTTGTGGCTGGGGGCGAGAAGAATGGAAACTTGGGTTCAGAGTCGGACTGGGACTGGGTCTGGGGTTCGACGTCACATTTAGCATGAATGGGGAGAGACGCTACCCCACGCGGAGAGCGAGAGATTCCAACGGCGGAGAAGCCTGGATGCAGATTAGGTTAGGTCTAGCACCCCAGTCCTTCTGTAGGCATGCTGAATGGTTCACCCCTGGTTTGTATTCGGTCCTCGGGCCAGTGGATGCCGGTGAATTGATGGAACGTCATATGAGGTGCGAGCAAGCTTCCGTCTTGGGAAAGCAGAGAAACGGAGGGGATGTGGAGCAGGGGGGAAGAAAGCTGCCGTGGTTTTGGCCGATCAGTATAAGAGGCCTAGTAATCGCAGGTTTTTCTTGCAGGATGTGCAGGTAAGCAGAGACGACTAGCCATCTCACGTCTACTATCGCCCATCATGGTTGCTGCTTCTAAGATTCTGTGCTCTGGCGCACTGTTCTCCTCCCTTGCGGCGGCAAGGTGGATCGTTCCCGGCGGCCGCTGGATCGATACCGATGGCGACCTCGTCAACGCCCACGCTGGTGGTGTCACCAGGGAGGAGGAGACGGGCAAGTTCTTCTGGTTCGGCGAATACAAGATCCAGGGCCAGGAGGAGGGTGGCGGTGTTTCGGTCTACAGTTCGGATGATCTCGTTACATGGGAGAACCATGGACTTGCACTCAGTACGTTTTCTCTGTAGGCGACAACCTAGCAGTGTGAGTGTATACTGACGAATGGCGGCAGTCCCTGAGGAGGGTCACGAGTTTATTTCACCCGAAATGATCATCCAGAGGCCCAAGGTTGTGTACAGCCGCGAGACCCAGCAGTACCACGTATGTCGGCCGATGCCCAGTGATCCTCTCTGATCCTGTTCGCTAACAGCACTAGATGTGGTGGCACGCCGACGATAGCAAGTACAGCCTCCTTCTTCAGGGCCTTGCCGTCTCGCCCAACATCACGGGCCCCTACACCTTTGTCGACGCCACAGCGCCCCTCGGCAACTGGTCCCAGGATTTTGGCCTCTTCACCGACAACTACGGCGATGGACGCTCATACGCACTCTACTCTAACGGTGACAGGCGTGAGGGCCGCGACGTCTACCTCTCTGTCTTTAACGAGAATATCACCGAAGTCGAGGAGGTTACATTCCGCTTCAACAAATACGATCTTGAGGCACCGACCATTCTCCAGACGGACAAGAGTTACTACGCGCTCATGAGCCACAAGACAGGCTACAGGCCCAACAACGTTGTTGCCTTCCGCGCCGACAAGCTCGAGGGACCTTGGAGCCAGCCCTTCATGGTGGCCAAGCCGTACACGCGCACTTACAGCTCGCAGAGCGGCTTCTCGCTGCGCATTGAGGGCACGGAGAAGACGACGTACCTGTACATGGGTGACCAGTGGGATCTTAACTCGCTCTGGGAGGCGAGATACATCTGGCTTCCCGTTGAGATTGACGACGACAAGGGCAGCCTCGAGGTCAAGTGGCACGACGTCTATGACCTCAATGTCGAGACTGGTGTCGTGACCCCTATCGAGGGCACCTCGTACCCGGTCGTCGACGCCAAGCTCGAGGGCAACGCCTGGCTCCAGGAGGCCAACTTTGCCAGCGACGGCCGCATCGCGACGGGCATCTACGGCAACGACAGCACCGTCACCTTCAGCGGCATCGAGGGCGCCGGTAGCAAGCAGTGGGTCTCGTTCTACTACCAGAACACGGACGACATGGGCTTCGGCGACCAGCCCGGTGGCACACCCGACCGCATCAACGGCACGTGGCAGCTGAGGCGTATCAGTAGCGTCGTCGTCAACGGCAAGGTCGAGGAGCTCGAGACGCTGTACCAGAGGGATACCCACAAGGGCATCATTGCCTCGGCACCACTGCTGCTGGACCTCGAGGCTGGCTCCAACAACACCATCAAGATTGGTGGCCTCTCCAACGGCTTCGACTTCAAGGGCGCCGATATCGACCGTATCGTCGTGTACCCGCCCGAGCCTGTCAAGAACAAGTGCAAGAAGAGGGCTGCCTAAGCGAAGGAGCCGAGAGACTGGTGCCTGGTCGTGGGGTCGGAGACTGATCGTCGCGAACATGGTGGTGATGGGCTGTGGAGGGAAGGCTGTGCTGCCTGTAGTGCTGCATACACATCAACCTGGTACTTACGTACCTTAGGTAGGTAGTCAGTTAAAAGTAAGGTAGGCAAAGTACCTTACACAGCCGCAGCTGCAACATCTGAATAGCCTCGTACCACCAGATAAATCTTCTTCTACATTCCAAGGCTGCTACTCAAACCCATGTCTCCTGTCCCACCATCACATGCTGTGCGCAATGCGAAGGCCAATACGAAGCAGTACCAATCTTCAGCCGGCTGCCTTCTAATGAGGGTGGAATTTGGGGGGTGATTCCCCAATTAGCACCACCTCGAGTCGAATGATCGGCTGCGAGTTGGGACAAGGCAGACCATTCAGGACTGATGACACCAAAAAGGCTGCGTCTTACGGCTAACCGGGTCCCCTCTATCCTGTTTACGATTCGTGGTCGCCTTCTCTTGGCGCATATATGCTGTGTACCTATCTTTCCATGTTTGTGTGCAGGAGAAGCCTGGTGGCCGGCTTCCAACGCAATCGATGCGGCACGAGACTGATTTTGACTGATGCGCAATCCATCGTGGCGTATCTCTGACATCATTCGGTGTTCGCTGACGCTTGCGTCGTAAGATGTTGTCGTGCGTCGGCTGGACAGAGGGGTTCTCAGTCCTTGGCCGACTACCTACTTGTCTCGGTATGCTTGAACGTTCCGTCCTGCGTCTTCTACTTGCGTACAAAAGGGCTTCAGGGCCACATCCGAACGCCGTCCTATTTGGAAGGCGCTTCGATATCTTGAATTCTGCGTGGTGGACAGATCATCGAAAGTTGAAGAGGAGAAGTGAAGCCATCGCCGACTCGATGCGTGGTGCACACACCAGGCGCGAGAGGCTTGGTCCAGCCTGAATGTCAGCCCCCAAACTGGCAAGTGAGGGTGGCCCTTCTGCGCCTCTTATTCCCATCTCTGGTCTGGAAGCACTCAGCCTGCAAGTCCGGTCAGAGTGCTACCACCACTTGCAGCGTTTTGGCGTCGACTGCTGACCGAGCTCGCATGGGCTGATGCAGCCCTCGACAGAGCCTCGTCTGCGATTTTGCTGTGCAAGGTTGATGTCACGCTAATGACGAGGTCCCATGGCCTGTGCAAATCCCCAAAAGGCTTTTCTTACCACTTTGGGTACATCTCCGTGGTATCTCGGTGTCGTATCAATGAGAATAGCTAACAGGACGGTTCAACCAAGGGGCCCCGGAGGCAAGAGACCCAGAAATCGGCTCCGCGCATGAGCATGTCCCGTGCGCCCATGGCAGCAAGTCCAAGGCACAACTTGCATGAATAAGGTAGTTGTACACGGCTCAGATGGGCATCTTACTGGTTCGGACCAACGGTACGCAAAGCGAGTGAAGCTATCCCGCGCTGCTCCATGAAAACACCTACCTTATGCACGTCATTCTTCCGCACTTACCGTTTTGCTAGGTTCCTTTAAATTTGAGATGTTGATATTTCAGCTTCACAGCCTGGTATCAGAAGGAGCCTAGTCATTTTGAGCCCGTTCAGGTAACACCCTGCGATTGATCAGTCAATGGACCCTGTGTGGAGGTTTGTCCTGCCCGTGATGTGCTCCCTTTTCAAGCGCAGCCCCCCCCCCACCCCCACCTCGTACTTGGTCCAGCTAGGCACCTAAATTCGGCTAGCAATCGCATTCATCAGACATGACATTCACCAAGTCTCTTTCTGTTCATTCCCTAGGTACTGTTCATGATAATTCACCTTGCCTGTCCATTGTCTACACCACCCGAATGCACTGCCCCTTTCCCTCTGTTCTTGCTAATGTCATCTGATGAACCCTATCATATGGACCTACCTATGTCCAACCCAATTCGTGAATATCTTACCTAGTAGGTAAGATACTTAAGCTGAAGGTGTCCTTACTTGTACGAGCCCCTCGTCTTCTTCCCACCATACCAGCGAGCTCATCATTCGCGCTACATTGAGAACGTGCCTCGGGCTATTCTCCTTATTCGCTGCCTGCCAAAAACCGCCGCCGCCGACTTGGAGACTGAGATGCACCGCACCAATAAGAAGTATGATCACAGATGCCAACATCTTTCGATGTGAGGTGAAGCACAGCTATCGTATCTTCCGCGGCCATCGTGTATACTCAAACTACTGCGGTGCTCGTGAGTTCTTCGTCACGTACTAAAGTTCCGTTTCACACAATACCTGGCACTTGACTCGACCCTTCAGACACTTTGTCGTGCGACTCATGACGATCCTGTCCAATTTTTGCTCAAAAGGTCCAAGGATATTGGAAACGAGCTACTGCTAAGACCGGTAAATATTTTTCCTGCTTTCCCTTTCTAGTTCACTAT